CCCCTGATCCTGCTTTTCTCCAAAGCGGGCACCCCCAGAGCCCAGAGCCTGGCAGGGGCACTCCCAGCTCTGTTCCCTTCCCTGGCTGCACCCAAACCCCTCCACATCCCCCCCAGCCCTTCCCCAGGGCTGCTCTGCTGTTCACAGCCCCATTTTCCACCTTTTGGATGCAAACCTGCCCAGCTCTGCTCTTTTGTTCAAACCCATTGATTCCAATTGGTGCAGGGCTTTTTTTCCTGGACCAGGTTATTGGTTGGTGTGTGGCCTAAGCTCCTATAAAGTGACCCAGCCCTCTGCTGCCCTGCAGAGCAGCACCTGCCCGCTGCTGGGAGGCAGCAGCGAGCCCAGGGAGCTGCTGCCAGCTGGGACATTCCGCACTGGGATGGCTCAGGGCATGCAGGAAAAATTCCCCCTCTTGGTCCTGCTGGCAGCTGCACTGCTGCAACTGTCTGGTGAGTGCTGGGCTTTGGTTTGCTCTACAGAACTGCTGCTTTGCTGCTTTGCTGCCTCTGCTATTGCTGCTTTGCTGCCTCTGCAATTGCCATTTCCTGCCTCTCTGGCTCTGCTCTCGCTGCTTTCCTGCCTGTCCTGGGCCAGCCTTGGGGGCTCCTCTCTGGCTGCTTCAAGCCTTGGGTGCTTCAGGTGGTGCTGAATGGCAGCAGCAGAGGAGGAGGGTGCTACAGCTGGGAACGGGAATGGGGCTGGGAATAGAACTGGGAATAGGAATGGGAATGGGGCTGGAAATTTAAATGGGATTGGGAATGGAACTGGGAATTGGAATGGGAATGGGAGTGAGAATATGACTGGGAATGGGAATGGGACTGGGATTGGGAATTGGAATGGCATTGGGAGTGGCAATGGGACTGGGAATGGGATTGGGAATAGGAGTGGGAATGGGAATGGGAATGGGAATAGCAATGGGACTGGGACTGGGAATGGGAATGGAACTGGGATTGGGAATGGGAATATGGGACTGAGAATAGAACCAGGAATGGAAATGGGACTGGGAATGAGATTGGGGCCAAGAATTTGAATGGGATTGGGAACAGGGCTGGGAATGGGAATAGGATTAGGACCAGGAATGACAATGGAACTGGCACTGGGACTGGCACTGGCAGTGACCAGTTCAGCTGTGCTGAGGAGCTGCTGGAGCAGCTCAGGGCTGACTCCAGCTGATCCCAAGGGCTGTCCTGTGTCCCCAGGTGCCTCCAGGAGTGGCCGTGCTGGCAGTGTGGCGCTGGCCCTGAGCGCTGCTGGAGCAGCCCAGCCCAGCCCTGAGCCCATCACCGAGGNGGTCTGGGGGTGCAGCTTTGGGTGCCACCCGTGGGTTGGTGTCACGGGGTGCCCTCAGCTCTGCTCCCCCTGTCCCAGCTCTTGTCCTGCCCTGGTCTGCCCTGGGCGCTGATTTTGCTGCTCTGTGCCAGGCTGGGTGCCCCGATGCCAGCCCTGGGTACCAGCACTGTGTGTTTGCGCTGCTGGGGCTGATGATGAACCTGCTGCTGGAATCCAATGGCACCATCCAGGTAAGAAACATCTGGGAATTAAAATAAAATAAATTACTGTGTTGCAGGTTGTTTTTAAGGGTGGGTGATAATTTAAGTAGGCTGAGAAGTGAAAAAAAGGATTTTCCCCTCTGCCACCACCTCCAATGTATAAACAGCCATGAGGAAAAATCAGTGTAAAGTGCACAGATTATCTTTCCATGCATTTTCCCTGTGTATTTTTCCCTGTGTTGTTTCCCCTGAGTTTTCCCCATTTTTCCCCTGAGTTTTCCCCATCTTCCCCCTGATTTTCCCCTGTGTTTCCCAGGACTTTGCTGTGCCCATCAGTGGCAGGTGCCTGGCTCTGCTCAGCCACCAGGACGGAAGGATTGTCACAGTAAGTCACCCACAAAAGCTGAGTTTGGGGCTCTCCTGAGCTCCTCAGAGCCAACTTCTGCCCTGTGCAGGAGGCTTTGAATCCTAAAACACTCCCAAGAGCAATAAAGAAATAATAGACCACTTTTATATTCATCTTTATATGGTTTGACGCAAGATGTTTTTAAGATTCCCTTGAAATCTGCTTAATAGAGGCTCTTAAAAAACCACTTCAGTGTGGAACCGTTAAAAGTGAGTGGGGCAGCAAAGCAGGCAGAGCAGTTTGGGTGTTCAGCTGGGATGGGGTGGGAGCAGCTCCTGCAGCAGGGGCAGATGGGGGCTCTGAGTCTCTTCGGGGCTGTTCCACCTCTCTCAGTGCCTCTGCTCTCTGCCAGGACTTTGTATTTTTATTTTTTTTTGAATGAGCACCCAGTTTGGGTTCCTCTCTGCCTGTGCTGAAGCTCTGCTGTGCTCAGTTTCCAAAAAAGCCACATCCTAAAGATGTTCTTTGTTAGCTTCTGCAGTTCTGGGATTTCCTTAATTCCTGTGAATTTCTCCTTCCAGCACTTTAATTATTTCAGTTTTACCATGCAGGAACAAACCAATTAAGCTGCCTGGAGCAATAACAGTTTGGTTTTGCTTCTCTTTGCCCCTGGTTTAGAGAGCCACAGGAGTGCTGAGCCGTGTGCTGCCTGCGTCTCCCTCAGCGGTGCAGGAGGTGGTGAGAGCAGGAGTGGTGAAGAAAATGCTCAAATTCTTGAAAGTAAATCCAACTTCCTTTATTCCTGCCTGCAGTGTCCCCTGAGCAAATCTACCTCCCCCTGGCTTTATCTTCCTTTTTCTGGAGGCTGTGTCTGCATCCTTGACCATTGTCACAGTGCTCCCAGGCTTCATTTTAATTTTTAAAAAATTCTTAATTCTAATTATTCTTTAATGTTTTTGCTTAATTTTTATTTTAATTTTTTCTTTAATTGTTCTTAAATTTTTTTTTAGTTCTTAATTCTAATTATCTTTTAATTTTTTTCTTTAATTTTTTTCATTTATTTTTTCCTTTCTTCTTAAATTTTTAAAAATTCTTAATTCTAACTCTTCTTTAATTTTCTCACTGTGTTTGCCCCCTCAGGCTGGGGGACAGCTCACATCCAGCTACGCCATAAAGACCCTTTCTGTCTGCACCAAGAGCAGCAGGAGAGCTCAGGAAGAGCTGCTGAAGGGGGACAAAAGTAAGTGAAACTTGTGATTTCCTATTAATAGAACCCCTGATTATCCTATTAACATAACCCCTGATTTCCAGGGCTTGGGGCTGTTTGTTCCTCTCATGGCTGGGTTTATCCAGCCCATGTTCAGTGATCCTGAATCTCAGGATTCTGGTCTGAGATGTTGCTGCTGCTCTCAGGTGTCAGAGCCCAAACTCTGCCATCCTTAGGGGCAGCTCCCAGCTGAGCTTTGGTAGCTCTCAAAGCACAGGAAGCCTTTTTTATGTTCCTTTTCCCAGCTGTTCTCTCCACAACAGCATCTCAGCTTTTTTCATGTTCCTTTTCCCAGCTGTTCTCTCCACAACAGCATCTCTGCTTTAAGGCAGTTAATAATAAAGTACTGGGATGCTCTTCCCAGGGAGGTGGTGGAATCATCCACCATCTCTGGATGTGTTTAAAAAACACTGGACATGACACTTGGTGCTATGGTCCAGTTGAGGTGTTAGGGCATAGGTTGGACTTTATGATCTTAGAGGTCTGTCCCAACCTCATCATTCTGTGATTCTGTGATTCTGTAATGTGGCACCTTCAGCTCTCTGTGACAGAGACCTCTGGGAAAGAGGAGCTGAGGCAGCTCCTGGCTGCTGAAATTGCCAGGAAATCCTGTTGTTCCCCAGCTTTTCCAGGGAAACAGCACCAGAGTCACATCTGGAGCAGCTCTGGCTGTGTCTAACCCAGATTTCCCCCATTGCAGGGTTCCAGGTGCAGCTCTGGCTGTGTCTGACAGAGATTTCCCACCCTTTCAGGGTTCCAGGTGCTGCTGGGGCTGTGTCTAACCCAGATTTCCCACCCAGATTTCCCCCTTTCAGGGTTCCAGGTGCAGCTCTGGCTGTGTCTGACCCAGATTTCCCCCTTGCAGGGTTCCAGGTGCTGCTGGGGCTGTGTCTGACCCAGATTTCCCACCCTTGCAGGGTTCCAGGTGCAGCTCTGGCTGTGTCTAACCCAGATTTCCCACCCAGATTTCCCCCTTGCAGGGTTCCAGGTGCTGCTGGGGCTGCTGCACTCTGCGGATGAGCTGACTGTGGGCAATGCAGCTTTCTGCCTCAGCCAGT